CCACAGATAGACTGCATATCTATGTATTTAATGTGTATTTGTACTTTATACCAAAAAAAAGTGAGTTACATTTTTTTTTGCCCCCTAAGAACCATTTTCTTTGGTGAGATGTATGCCTTAAACTCTTGTTTATAAAAGGTAATTTTTTCCTTTGTGTAGGAGGGTATTTCCACTTTAATAAGTTAAGTTTAACTATATTGAGTCTGTTGTTCACACACCTGTGCTTTTATAATCACTTTATTTTAAGCTGATTATTATTTAAATAAGTATGCTAAAGTCCTAGTGTATTGAAAGCACTGGAGAAGTCACTTTTATATATTGGTATAGAATTCAGTTTGGGGCTAGATAGAAGACCTCTAAACTTTGTGTAAAGTCTTTATAAATTTGTCTTTTATTCTTTTAATAAATATTTATGGAGGGTATGCTGTGTGTAAAGAATGTGTCAGAGTTGAAGACCCAGGGGCTTATAGAGTTTAGTCTGGTTCCTTTTTTCTTTGCTAGCTAGATTGCCACTAGGATTATATATACTTGAGGAGTGCAAAGTTACTTTGACTGCACTGCTTTTCAACCATTAGCAACAAAATGAAGCATGTTCTTAGTGGAAAACTCTGGGAGTTGGCATAACCCTTTGTCTACCACACTATTTATATATAGTGCATGAAAAGATTGAGGGCCAAGTCCCACAAGATGCAAAGTCAATATAGTTCTTACTTTCCTGTCTGTTCTGCAATCTGTGACAGTTGGCTATACCAGTACATATTACTCTGTCTGCAATGTGGGAATCTGCTTAAATTTTTGGACTATTCTAAAAAACCAGTATCTGAATACACATATGCACGGCATAACAGTAAAACTTTGATATAGAGTTTACTTAAAGAATAGGGCTCTGTCTCTTACTACTATTTAATTGCTAAAGAATGAAATATATAGTTTCAAACTAAATTTCAGATTGCCTAGAAGATACAGGGCAAAAACATTTCAGAAAGAATACAGGGCAGAACAAGTTATCTGAACACTTTAGTTTGACCAGACATCCAGACATAGAGCCTGTCATTCATTTTATCTGTTGCACAAATATTTACAGAACTCCTAACCTCTGTGCTGGGCCCTTTTTGAAAACACAGAAGACCCTCAGTTTCACTCATCCTCTCAGTCCCCATTTCATGAACAAAAAGTGTAGGGTATTTTAACAAAGAGCAACTTGTCACTCATTCATTCATTCATGCATGCATGCATGCATGCATGCTTTCATTCCATGTGTCTGAGAGTCTGTATACAGATACATTATTGTGAGACATTAAAAAGAGATATCATCTCTGTCCTCAAGAATTTTCTTGTTTGTTCATTGGTCAGCCATTCATTCAAATGTGCATTGAGCCAGGCAATGTGCCATGTCAGTGCTAGGGGAATAAGAGATAAACAAGGGCATACTGTAAGTCCCTGAAGGGCTGCAAGTCCCAGCCTGGAGAGGCAAACACATTGTAACATGTTGGAAGAGTGCAATATGGTAAGTGATAATAATGAGCTCTACTCACTGTGTTGGGTGAATGCAAAGGAGGAGCACAGAAGTGGAGTTTCATAAATTAACTTTGTGTAAGTGAGAGGTCAAGATGTGACTCTTTCATTTCCCTCAATGCTAGGGATTGAGCCCTAGGACTTCATGTATGCTAGGCAAGTGTTCTACTGTGCTACATCCCCGGCCCAAGATACACTCTTGATCTGACTTTTTAGTTGGAACTGGAGATGAGAGATGGTTTGGAAAGGAGAATGTAGGGAAATGGTTCCAATTAGAGGAAAACAGTTTTGACTATAAGGAGTTATAAGGCTCTCTGGCAACTTAGTACAACTCTAAGTGCTTTATGTTGATTTGGCTATAGGAGGTGAATTCCAATCTAGGAAAATAATTGCAACATATAAAGGCCTAGAATTAAGTCCTTATAGTACTGGAACAATAAATGGTTTAATAAAACAATCCAGACACAAACATACATACTCTGTGATAAAGTAGGTATCACAAATTAGAGGGTTATTATGTAACACACAACAGTGGGACAGCTAGTAAACTATTTGGAAAATAATAGATTCCTACTGTATATGATTTTTAGTCAGAACTTAGTGGCTAGAAGTTTAGAAATTAGAGAATTAGGATCTTTCTGTGAATTAAAATTTCAGATCAATACTAATGGGTCAGAGAATATATATAAAATGTCACCTTGTTGAATGTGTTGGTCATGTGAACTGGGCCACCTTCATGGGCCTCATACTCATCAGGCTCTGCATTTGGCTTAATTCTCTGCTGTTATTGTCCTCTGGAAAGTCGTAAGTTTTTGAACATGGGCCCATATTTTCTGTTTGCACTGGGCCCTACAAATTCTGTAGCAGTCCTGCCTGTGAAGTTGGTCATGCATGGGGACAGAAAGTTACAGAGCCACACTTTAGACGTAGATTTCCTCGTGCCCTCTGTAGAGTTGTGGCTAGCCCAGTTACAGTTCCTGGCCACAGTAGCAGGACCATCTGTATTGTGTGTGTGACGCCTTAGGCTGTTCAGCCTTATACCATTAGTCATTCAATTTATTTGACAAACCCTCTAACTCCCTATTTCCTTCTCATCAAGCAATCTTTTAATTGTGACTTGGCTGCTTCTTTGATTTTCCTGCAGAGAGAGAATTGGCTGGTCATGCTGACTCCATACTTCATCCTGGAAGTTAGTTATTAAATTGGCATTCTGGTTACATGCATCAGTGAGGGTCTTTCCTGTGAGCCCGCTCCTGAGAGACAGGTCTGCTTCTGCTGGATTTCTGAGATATCAGGCTGAAGTCCAGGCATTGTTCTGGTCAATTCACCAGAGCATTCAAGTGTACAACAGGGGTTGAGAGCAAGGGTTTTGGAGTCTTGAGTCAGGCAATCTTGGATCAGAAATGGGTCTTGTTACTTATCTTTATTTTTTTTATGTTTATGTGGTGCTGAGGATCGAACCCAGTGCCTCACGCATGCCAGGCGAGCGCGCTACCACTTAAGCCATATCCCCAGCCCCAGGTCTTGTTACTTATAAAGTTGTGTGACCTTGGCCTCTGTATGCTGTAGTCGTTCTTCTGTCAAATGATGACATTATCATCGACTATAGGGTTGTGAGATTGAGTAAGATAATATACATTAGGTCAGGGTTTCTGCCTCAGTGCTATTGACATTTGGGGTCAGATAATGCTTTTTTGGGGGGTGGAGGAGTATGGACTGTACAGTGTGTGCATGGTAAGATATTTAGTAGCATCCCTGACTTCAATGCCAGAAGATTCACCCCTCCACAGGTGTAACAATCAAAATGTTTCCAGACATTATTACTAGATGTCCTCTGTGGAGGGAAAAATTGAACCTGGCTGAGAACCACTGTTCGTAGCCAGGTACATGGAGAAAAGAGAGCCAAAGACAGATTTTATAGTAATAATGGTGATGATGCTACTGACTGATGATAACACTCCTGATACCATACTGAGGTCCCTGGGAAGATATTTGTCAGCCTTTCACCTATCCTTTGTTCCTCAGTTTCTATATTCATGATAGAATAAATACCCTGTGGACCAAAGAATAAATGTAAAAAGACGTAGTTTCAAACAAAAATCTAAAGAAAAAGCAAGTAGCAGATCTTCAGGTTTGCAAATAAGAAAATGGTGTCCAATCTCAAAAGAAGGAGGTACTCCTATAATATTTAATGTTGGGTTTAAGTCATACTGGGGCATTTTATTCCTCAATAGATGTCACTATGTTAAAAACATACATGCATGATCTATAAAAACATTGTAAAACTCATTAAAAAGCAAATTGGATAAAACAATTCATATAACAGTTAACATTGGATTAAGAAACTAGTTAATTTGAAAAGGAAACCAAATATTCCCCCATGGACAAAGACAAAGGAGGAAATATGGTCAGCCTATAAACACTAGGTAATTGTTCAGATTTAATATTTTTTTTAAAGAGGAGCCATTTTTTTTTAAGAGAGAGAGAGAATTTTTTAATATTTATTTTTCAGGTTTTGGTGGGCACAACATCTTTATTTTTATTTTATGTGGTGCTGAGGATCGAACCCAGTGCCCCGCGCATGCCAGACGAGTCAGATTTAATAATTTTGAAAAACTTAAATCCTTTTTTTTAAATTGGTGAAGATTATAAACAGTAACATCTAATTTTGTGGTAGAGTTCAAGAAGCCTTTTTACACATTCTTTGTAGGATAATGGGTGGGTCCAACCCCCCTGGAAGAAATATGATGATAAATATGCCCTAAAGTTTATCATGCCTTTTAGCCCCCCAAAATAGCACTTGGGAGTAACGTCTACAGCATAATCTGAAATGTAGACAAATATTTATGTATGAAGATGTTTATTGCAAAGTTGTTTTAATAAAAGCCAGCTAAATGTTCCACATTAGGGAAGTAGTTAATTATAGCAGTTGATAAATAATCTTCAGTCCTTAAAAACAATATTTACTGCCTCTGATGACATGTGAAATTCTTATAGTGTTAAATGAAAAAGCAGGTTTTAAAATTGCATATGCACTATAAACAATAAAGATGAAGGGAATATGCAAAGTATTAGTAATATTGTTCTTGAAAGGTTAGAATATGGATAATTTATGAAAGTTGTTCAGCAATATGATTAAATTGATAAAATTTCACAGCAGACTTGGACTTTTTTTGAGTGTGTCCTTTAAGGTAACTTTTTAGGTTTTAAGCATTTCTTTGCCTTGGGAATGAAGACAAAAGGATTTAGGCTTTGAATGAAAGAAAGCTAAAGCACTTGTCAATGTCTTAAAATACAGCATTATATTCTAAGAATTTCCTTGTAAATTATGTTATAAAATCAGTTTTAGAGGGTAGACTACTTGCCCTGGAATTAATTTTTTTTACAACATGGTACTTTTTGTATATTAGTTTTTTAAAGATGTATTTATTGTAGTATGTTTTTTAATGAACAAATCTTTAAAAAGTCTGTTTTTATATTTATAGTATGTGCAGAAGCCTATAATCCTGATGAAGAAGAAGATGATGCAGAGTCCAGGGTATGTAATTTACTGAATGAATTAATTTTCGATTGATATTCATATAAAGAGTAATAGAAAAGATGCCAGTGGGCATACAGGTTAACAGGAGACATAATGGAATTATTTTGATTATTACATTTTCAAGTCTTACCTCTGATAGCCTACTTCTGTTTCAAATTCTTTAGAATTATTTTTATCCAAAAAATATGTCTCTTTGGATAAAAGGAAAGATGAACATATTGCTCACTGTATTTCTGGTTTTACTTCTTTTGCAAAATACATCCTGGTGATGAAAAATGTTTTCAGCTGTCTTTCTCATAGTGATAATGTTATTTTTCTTAGAAAGTGCTTCTAGTAAAGAAAAATGCTGGGGAAGACCTGCTGTTCCTATTAGTGATAACAATAGAAGCTTACTCTGAAACAAGTCACAGTAAAATTACATAGGAGGTGTCAGTACAGCAGTTACCATTAAAAAAAAAAAAAAAATCTATGTGTTGATTATTTGCCCAGCAAATGATTTCTTGGAGGCCCTAATGTTTTTGTAAGAACTTGTCCAGTGTGGTTTGACGCAGTTTTTAAGCTGTGTCCTTTAACTTGGTTCTTCTTTTATTTATTCAGTCAAAAGTAAACTAAATAAGAGATTACTGTGCCTGGAAATGAAAAGTAATAATTTTTTTTGAGTACATGCTTTGTAAACATCCCCCTTTTCTCTTTAACCTTAAAAGGTATAAATAAGAACCTATTTATGTAGCTCTGAAAACTACTTCAATTAGATTGAGTTTTAATAAATAAAATCAGATGGTAGGTCCCTAGTCATTACATCATGAAGCTCCCTGAAATACACATGAAATCCAGTGGTAGAAAGATCAGGAGACTTGTGACACAGAAGATCTTGAAGTCTCATTTCACTCCTGATCCTATGAAGATTCCCAGCGCTAAGTATTATTTCTCACTACCAGAACTTCAGTTATTCTGATGAAGTCCTCAAATCCCAGCCTGGGAATCCAGATATTTTTGCTAATCTGTGACATGCTGTTTACCACTCTGTGAAGTCTGAAAAAACCCTACCTTGTGCCTATCACATACCTATCTGTCCAGCAGCATTTGAAGACTGCTCACATTCTTTATATTTGTAAGTAAATGATTATGATAAAATATAATAATAAAGGTAAGTTTGATGAGGCAGTTTAAATTAATAAAACTCTAAATTAAAGAGAATTTAGCCGTACAACTTAAAAACTGTGCATTGTCTCATTGACTCAAAAATTGTGAGATCTTGAGAGGAATTTTAGCTTCCATTGAACCTATGAGAAAAATAAATGTTGGCTAGTTCACTCTAACTAATTGCTAATAGTTTTGATGGGGAGGCTCCCTGTGTTAAAATTTGCTCTGCTAGCTGGGTGCAGTGGCACTTGCCTGTAATCCCAGCAACTGAGGCAGGAGGATCTCAAGTTCAAGGCCAGCCTGGGCAACTAACTTAGTGAATCCCTTTCTCAAAATAAAAAATAAAAAAGTGATGGAGTCGGAGAGTGGATACCTCACTAAAGGAGCCTTTGCTCCTGGGTTCAATTCCCAATAACACACACACACACACACACACACTCACATACACACCCACCCTTGGCTGCATAAAAGAGCCCATTCACACTGAGATGAACACACAAAAAAGAAAATACTGGGGAGAGCTTATTGGACAGTGTGTAGAGATCTTACTCAAGTTCAGAAAGAGTTCAAAGGCCAAGCTGTAACTAGCAGGTAACCCACCTTTGGGATGTTTTCAGCAGCAAGGGTACCAGAACTGAGTGTTGTCATTGAAAAATACCCAGCTTCCAGTCTCTCTTTATTCCTGTATCTCTCTGCTCAAAATTCTAATTTCCCAGAAGTTTCTGGGAGAACCAGTGTTGGCCAGATTGGGGACAGGATTAGGAGGTCAAGTTGGTTACTCAGGAACAACTTCTATAAATAAGGGCAGTCAGTTCCTAGAGAAGTTCCTAGGGGATTCTTTGTGGGTTTGGGCATTCACTCCAAGATTTGTCCACTGTAATACCTTTAAGAATTTTTTTTTTTAAATATTTTTTAAGTTGTCCATGGACCTTTATTTTATTTATTTATATGTGGTGCTGAGAATCAAACCCATGCCTCACACATGCTAGGCAAGCACTCTACCACTAAGCCACTACCCCAGCCCCACATTTGAAATTTTTTGGTAATGTATTAATAATGTGTTAATGATTTTAATAAAGTGCTTTAAGTTCTCAGTTATCCTTAATATTCTCTCCTCTAAACATGTTACTAAAACTTCACCTTTTTGTCATAGAAACTATAAGGCAAACTGCCCTTAGGAATGTACTACACATTTCAACATTAATTAGATCTAGGCAGATATTGGAAAATGTTTGTGAGAAAAATGTACACTGTTTAGAATAATGTTTCATCTGGACATTTTATATTATTTCTCTATGTAATACCAAATTTAAGAGTATGTACATCATAAATCATTAAATCTCTAGTATAAACAGGCATTTATCTTCTGATGTGAATTCAAAGAAAATCTAGATACTGAAAACTTATTTTGGAAAATAACAGATTTCAGTTGGAATACCTTTAATAACTGAAAATTTAAGGATTTTTATATCTAACATGGCTACTGGAAGAGTAGAGCTGATAAATTTAAGAGTGGAGGGTTTCTTTGTTCTGTTACTCCACAGATTTCTTTTGGAGTATATTTTGCATATCTGCCTAGGTGCTAGGTATACAACAGTGAGCAAAATGAATAGGCCCCTGCCCTCTTGGAATTTAGAGTCTAGGGGCAAATGCAGACAAACAAGTAAATTAATGAATAATTACAAACTGTGAAGTGCTAACGGGGCAATAAAACAGTATAAGAATTAAAATCCCCTAATGCAAACAGGGGCCCTGTTTTTCTGGAGTGGTTGAAGGCCTTCTTGAGCTGAGACGAGAAGGATGGATGGGGAAGGATCTGGCCAGAGCTAGTGGTGCATTTTGGCGTGAGCTGACTATTAGGAGGAGTATGAGGTTCCCAGTGAAGGCAGGGGTAGCTGGATGAGTGGCTGAGATAGGGTGGAGAAGGAAGGAATGGGGGTTTACTTCTCAACAATGTGATGGATGGAGTCCATTGAGGTTTAAAGCTGGAGAAAGAGGTGTTCTGAGGATAGTTTTAAAAGATAATTTTCAGCTCTTTGTGGAGAATGGATTAGACAAAAATGAAAATATCTTCTACAGATTTCTCTTGCATAACAAGATACTTAGTGCTCTTTAAAAACACCTGAGTAAGCCTTATTTATTGACTGTGTTGTAATTCTTCTAATTGACAGGCAGCAGAGCCTTAGAGCAGGAGTTGGCAAAATTTTTCTATAGAGGCTTTTTTTTTTTTTTTTTGAACTTTGGGGGTTCTAAGGTCTCTTGCAGCTACTCAACTGTACTGTTATAGCTAGACAACATATAAATGAAAGCATGTCTGTGTTCCATTAAAACCTTATTTATAGACAATTGAATTTGAATTTTACATACTTTCTATGTATTGGAAAATATTCTTTAATTTTTTCCCATATGTATTGGAAAATATTCTTTAATTTTTTCCCCTGTCATTAAAGCAATCCTTCACTCAGAGGCATAGAAAAACAAACTTGCCTGCTGATCCCTGGTTCAGAAATCATTGCTTGCCTGCAACAAGTCCTAGCTCTGCAGCAATGGACCAGGAAATGCTGGAGAGGTCATTTGGGCAAGGTCATTTTCCTGCCTCTGAGTTGGTGCCTGCTTTATGGGGGTCTGTTACTAATAGGAAATGAGTTGGTATTTGTAGGGCCCTTAAAATAGCAGAGTACTTGCATAGCATGTGCAAGGCCTTGAGTTCTGTCCTTAGCAAGCAAGCAAGCAAACAAACAAACAGAAAAGAATAGGTGTTTTGGTTTAGTGAGCCTTCTGCTGGTCAGAAGGAACTTGAAAGTTGATGAGCCACTCTTACAGAGGACATTCTGCTGTCTTTGTCCTCCTGGAATAAAACTTTACTGAGACTGTAATACACCAGCAGTCTTTGGATTCACTTTCTCTTGAACACACACTGCTGTCTTGAATTGGCAGTGCATCATTGCTTTCTCCCTTATGAAAATCCCACATCTAATATATAGCTAAGAATTTATCTGCTTCTAGAAACAATGTTCATCAAGTTTCAAAGGAAAGTGCTTCATCTTAAAAGAGTATTAAACTCAGAAACTGAGTAAAGGCAGTCTCTAAATTTTCATTGTAACATGTTTTCCTTTTGTACTTACCCCTGTTGGCTGGGAACTTTGGAGTCTTTATAGCCAGTCATGAACCTTTACATAATCAACTTGCTAACTTTAGGGAAACACTCTTTTGAAGAATGCTGGAGTGCTGTATTGATGACTATATACCACCCCCTGAGACAAACTGTATTGCTTTTCCTTACTTAGTGGGCTGATAGTTACTAGTCATTTAAAGTAAATCTCAGTGCTAACCTAGAGTGAACCCCTTTTGGCATTCCTGTTAGATTTTAATTTGTTCTCACCACTGTCTTTGTTTTTCTAATTTGGTGTCCTTTTAGATTATACATCCCAAAACTGATGATCAAAGAAATAGATTGCAAGAGGCTTGCAAAGACATCCTGCTTTTTAAGAACCTGGATCCGGTAAGATTAATCTTAATAATAGGAATGAGTTTTTTGTTTGTTTGTTTTCTTTTTTCAGTGCCAGGTTCAAGAATTGTGCAGTGGCTTCAATTTTACCCTCATTTCAAGCTAACATCATATCATCCTGGGATGATGGCAGAGGTGACAGAGGCCCCAGTGTGTATACCTGTGCATGCAGTGGGTTGTGCTGTAGGAGAGGGATACTAAATTTGGGGAGTTATACACTGTCAGAGGAAGGAGTAAGATAGCCTGGGATATATGGGGGGAGACATTCTCTTATCCCTTCATGTTGCTTCTTTACAAATACAACCTTGAGAAATGATCCAGGTAAAGACCGGACAGGTCCTTGCATTCTGAATGCACCCAGCAGGGATGTGCAGGGATACTTAGGACCCATGTTGGAGGGCCTTTCCTAACAGCTAATAATAGTAATTATATTTGAATACTTTATAAAAATATTACTTTTAAAATATAGTATGGAATTTTATTAAAATTTTCAAATGAAAAATTCTGTATTATATTTTTAAATTAACATTTTACTTGGCTGTAAAGTAGGGGGTCTTTTCGTTCTTTGTAAGGATTTTGAAATGTCTAGTCTTTGGTTGGGTATTTCTAAGATACCCACTTAGTATGAGTGATTGTGTACTATTTACGTTTTGCCGTACACTCTCAACCTGGATGTTATGCTTTCTTCATCAGAGATTATGCATATATTCGCTACCTCATCATTTAGGAAATAATTCTTACCATGTTCCATAGTGAAAACTGAGTCACCTTTTGTAATTACCTCTACATTTTGTGTTTTGTTTTCTTTGGTCAAACTTTGCATCTTCTAGGTTTCAGATTGATGCCCTAGAGGAGAAAGCATTAAATCAAGAATTACTCTTTTTTTGAGATGTCTTCTTAAAAAGGACATTTTTTTAAAGATTAAGGTACTGCATCATACCAATTCTTCCATATTAGGTAGTCACAACCCGTGTGACATTTACTCAGTTTCCCCGAGCTAGGGTGGTGAAGTCAGATTAGAAATATTAAAGGTATGAGAAATTTAAGAAATAAGACACAAAAATAAGCCAAACAGCTGGATCCCATGGGGATCAGCTCTAATGGAGACTGGGTCTAACTTCCCCCCAAAGGGAGTCTGTGGGCTTTATTTATGAGTGGGAATACTAGTGGGATTCAATGTAAAGAACTTAAGAATATGGCAGAAACAACTGGCTGGAGCTTAGCAGGTTGGGCCGCCTTCCTCTACCTCTGGGATGGCTGCGTTTGAACCAAAGGCTGTGAGCTAAGGCAGGGTATTAGCATAATCTGGGCATTCTTGAACTGGGGAATTTCACCCAAGAGTTCCCAGAAAAGCAACCTCCCTGCCTTGTGATAGCTCAGACAAACCGATAATTCATACATGGCCTCCTACACTAGGTCATATTTATACCCTGAAATTAAAAAAAAAAAAAAAGTCTCCATTGGTTTCTAATACCTTTTATTCAAGGACATGAATTACATTTTGTGACTTTGAAAATCTGATTTGTAAGGCCTTGTGTTACAAGTTTGTATGTCCTTCTCTGACTCCAGATTATTTTCTCTGAAAGGCCCAACCTAACCATGCAAAAGATCTATCAGTACTTCTGTCCATTTCTTGAGGTGCGAGCTATGTCTTTTCCATCCCCGTCTGTCTCTTTAGGTAGACATATGCTACTCAGAGCTTTCTGAACGCATCAGTTTCTAAAAAAATTTGGAAGTAAAATAGGAATGTTTTGAGTTGTTCTTTCATATTTATCTTGGTGTGCATATTTAATGAATAATATTTTTGATAGATTTATTATTTGTAATAAAATGATGACATTTAAATATTGTTTAACTTAAATCTTGTTAAAAGTTACAGTGAAGGTAGGCATGGTGGTTCATGTCTGTAATCTCAGTGGCTCCAGAGGCTAAGGCAGGAGGATCACAAGTTCAGAGTTAGCCTCAGCAACTTAGCAAGACCTGTTTCTAAATAAAATATTAAAAAGGAGTTGGGGATGTGGCTTAATGGTTAAGTGTCCCTAAGTTCAATTCCTGGTACAAAAAAAAAGTTAACAGTGAAACATTGAGCACTGTTACACTTTCGCATTATGAATTCCGCTGTTCACATACCCTGGTATGTCTTTGTCTACCCAAGTTTGTTGAGTGAGTCCTGTCACCCCACATTCACTTGTACCACCACTGAACTAGCAGTGGTGGTCAGTGCTGAGGAAACAAAGACCTGGTCAACATCCTGAGCTGGTGTTAAAACTAGCCTGTGGATCAGATGTTCTCTAAGACAAGGACCAAACAGGTGTTTGATTATTTGGTTCCAAATGCACCCATTAGAGAGCTCTAAAATCAATCCTTCCTTTACACCTAGGGGTAGGCTCCCATTAAGGGTTCCTTATTTTTTGACTGTGATTTTAAATGGGAAAATTTCAAAGGTCTTTAAAAATAATGCCTGCCAAACTCTCATGTGCCTTTATATCCTCAAGGGAACTTGTTAGAATGAATTCTGATTCAGTAGGTTTAGAGTGGAGCCTGAAGGCCTTCATTTTCCGCAAGCTCCCAGGTAATGTTGACACTTCTGGTCTGCAACATAGTAGCGAGGACTACTCAGCTAGATATGAAAATGTTCAAGTTCAGTATTTTGGTACTGCCATATGTTATTTTGTTTGTAATCGTTGAACTGGAATTTTAATGCTTCAGAAGTGACTAAGCAGGGATATTCTGGTTTCTATACACTAAGTGATAAACAAGCATGAATGAAATAGTTTCTAGCTATACATTCCTGGGATCCTTCCTTTTCTATCGTCTAAGTCAAATTGATTTACTTTGCCATTTCAACTTAAACTCTTAAAGCATTGTGAAATTATGGTTGTATTTTAAACTATTTTTAAAGAATTTTGCTAGTGTAGTCTGGGAAGGAGTATCTTTACTTAATTAAAGTGATTATTTTTATAAACACAGGATTTTTTAAGAGTTCTTTTACTGCTCTGCCAAAGATCTTCTATGTAAATTTTAAAAACTAGTTCATGGGCAGAGGAGGAAGAGACCCCAAAACATGAATTGTTATTATGGAATGTTTTATAGGCAAGAAGCAGACATATTTACATAGTTATTTCCGAAGGATCATTTAAAAAATTTGAGCTTAAATCAGCTTTATTTATTCTCCTACTATCTCAGCTCTTTTTAGAGATGATGCAGGATATAAAAAAAAGTAAACATTTATTTTCCTCAACAAATTACCACCTGGAGTAAGAAATTCAGCCTTCAACATGGCAGATTAAGATTTTAGGTTGATCTCATAATTCAAGCAGCCTCCTAGGTTTTTTATGATACACTTTATTTCTAGTAACACAAATACATTTTTATTGAATTACATATACAGTATATATTCTGCTTGTCATGTAGCTCCTTTCCATTCAATTTCTTGACTTCTCACTGTGTTTCAATACTTGTATAAGCATTGTCAAATGGGGGAGAAAAGATGACAATGACGTTTAGACATGATTCTCATCCTTCTGGGATTTACAATTTGAAACACACACACAAAGCCCGGCTATTATAGATTCTGGTCCATAGTCAGGGTACTAAGAGTGATGCCGATAGAGCCTAGGGGGATACCATCCAGTGATGGCAGCTAGGGTGTGGGTGAAGACCACTCCTGAAGGAACATTCCTGAATGCCATCCTATAAGCAGTGGGCATAACTAAAGTTTTCGGCAGAGAATACTGCATATTTTGTAAAACCACTCCTTTCTGTCCCTTTTCTCCTTTCCCTAATTCGGGTCCATTGTTTTTCCCTGAATAATTTCATGGCTTCCTTACTCCATTCCTTTCTCACCCAAGTCTCTCATCACTCTCCCCACTTTAACTCTACCCTCTACACCTCCACCAAAGTTAGACAAGTATGACTATTAACAGACTTTGGTACTTAGTAGTTGAATTAATTGGGGCCTAAAGGAAAGTCTAAGATGACTGCCAGAATGACTGTGAAGGTAGTTCCTTTCTGAAATTGGGAAAACGTGAAGGAGAAATAGTAATTACTAACTAGCAAGAAGAATGATCTTGGCTTTGTATCTACTATTTCATTTGAATTTCCTGACATCATTGTTTAGCTTGAAAATCTTGCACTTCCTCAACTTCAGAACATTTTTTTCCGTGGAGTACTGTATATTCCTACATTGAGCCACAGCATTTATAATTATCAATCTCTTTGAAGATATTCTTTTCATGAATATTTTAACACTCGACTCAGTAGGCCATTTTCCTTCTGAAACATTTCTAATTTGAGACTAAATGAAATAATTTTCCTATGGTATATGATAGGCTCTTTCATTAATGCAGAGTAAATTGTTATTTCTTAAGTGAGTCAGAGCCCTTTACTGAGTTCAGTCTTGAATTTTGCATTCTGTAGGAGAATTAGATGTGGATTTCGTATAGCAGTTGTCAGTCATCATGATAAGCCTATGCATATTAAATATTTCCTAAGTTCTCACTCTATGCATAATTATGGGGAAATTACATTTTGATTGAGTAGAACAGACACCTGTCACATAGAGAAGTGGTGAAAGAAATAATTTTTCTGTATTTTATCAGAAATCACTTTTTCATATATCCAGGTATGAATTCTCAACCTGTATAATTTAAAAGCTGTATAATTTAAAATTCAGCTGATTCTAATAACCAAAAAATTTACTACAGCAATTGATTTCATCTTTTTTCCCCTATTTGACATTTAGAGTGGAAACTAATCAATAAAGCTAATATTCCTCCTTTTCTAAAAGAATTGAAATAGAAATAGCAAGAGAACTAAAATATTAGTAAATCATTTAATCAACCTTCAGAATTTTGATAGGTGACCATATGTTGCTTGAGTTGATGAAGTCATTTGGGTAAAAGGGTGCCCATGGGGCCAATTAGCACCATATCAAGAAAGCTCTGTTTTACTGTCACTTTGGCTTCATCTTCAGCCCCTGGCTGCTGGCCTAC